CCCCAGGATGCTGGAACACTCTCGCTGAGAATCACTGATCTAGTCAACCATGCAAAGAGCTTAGGTTTCTTTCCACACTGTGGTACATTGCATGAGGTGGGCAGAGAGTGTAGGTGCCCTGACCAGTGATGTCCCAAATAGCTTTGAAAGGCACTGTGGGTTGGATCATTTGCTCACATATGTCTCTATGGCTCTACCAGAGGCAATGAAGCTCCACTAATGGAGAATCTGGCAGGGATGACTCCAGGGGTGCATGTTACACTTTGCTTCTGAAGTTCTACTTTTATTTAAAAAGAGCCAGCAATGACAGCCACGCATGTATAGAACATGCTGGAAATACACTTGTTACTAAGCAAAACAGAAGGCAAATAGCAAATACTGTCATAAATGCATTTAATCTGTTCTGGAATGCCAAGTGCATCATTTACATATGGATTTTGCAAATGGCAAATCTGAACGTCCTTATTGCACTTTCCCTCCTGGAAAGTTGGCTATGTTTAATTAAATAGTTTCAAATCCCAGTTTTCTAGGTCTGTTCCACTTTAGCTGAAGTTATGACAGCTTGTTGCTGTTAGTTTGAAAAGAGCTGCTTACCTCATCATTCTCAGGGGCTGGTCCAAGACTATGGAATGAAATCTCAGAACTAAGGACCATTATAAGCCTGCCCACCTTTTGCTGCTTCCAGCCTGCTTTCTCTGTTATAAACACAGAGCAGTGTGTTTATAATTCCCCCACACAAAACAAAACATTGCATTGCATATATAATTCTCGACGCTGGAAGAGGATGAGAAAAAGAAGGAACCGCATGGACAGCGGTTAGTCTTGTTGCTTAATGCACAGCTGGAATGTGCTAAAACACTACAGTAAGGAGAGTGCATTAAAACGTATGCTGAAGGGAGAGAAGCTCCCTTTGGATTTTGTTTGGAAGTATAGAAAGAATCTTTAAAGATGATGTAAAGAAAGATCTCTCAGCAGAGGAATGGAATTGTCTATAGATGCTTTACCAGGAACTCTACAAAGCTTGTATCTGGCTTTTCAAAGGAAAAGCTGAGAACATTTTAAGACACTTCATCCTCCAGGATCTGGGATGTAAATATTTTATCCATCTGAAGGGGAAGGGCATGCCCAGGAGTTGCTATTAGCTGGCTTCAGTTTGCAAAATTTTCTTCAGTGTGATCGCATGGTGTAGCCCTGCTCTGTGTTATTTATTTAAAGGACGCTATCTTCTTCGGTGTTATGGTATAACCTGTGGCCATGCGATTCTGTCTTCCACAACAGACTATGCAGCTTGCAGGAACTGAGGGACCAGCTCTATGTAGCTAATGTAAACAGACCTTGTGTTTTTTATAGTGTATAAGTGGTTTAGGAGCCCAAACTCTGCAAAGAGTGCTCCTTTACCACACAGGCATATTTGAAAATACAACAAAGCTCATTTGATACGTCTTGGGGACACAGGCCAAAAGTTTCAAAAGCAATTCGTGATTTCACATGAGTCACAGCTGTGTAGCAAGGACAAACCTACAATGCCTTTAATGTAGCTGTCTTGGGAAATACTAGCTGTGCAGCCACAGGTGTATAGAGGTTGGCATGGACTGATTCATCCAGATTCTGGCTGGATTTTGCACCCTGTGCTGAGCTCCAGGCTGCTGTGAGAAAACCCTTACCTGTCCTCAAAGTAGCTAGCCACTGCGTGGCTAACCTGAGACAGCTGAAATGTTTTCCAGGAAGCAATGTACCACCTCACACACCCACCTTATAATAACCAGGCCCCTGTAAGTTTCCCCAGGTTTGCACACAAGCCCTGAGCCACTCCAGATCAATAGGCACTTATGAAAATCTTGGCCATTGTGCATTTGATGCTTTATTTTTCATTGTTGCTATTTATGTTATGTCAGACCTTGGGGTCCCCTCCTGGCATCTTGGCAGCTTTGTGCTGGGCACTGTGTGAACACATTGGTAAGAAGCAGTCCCTGTCCCAGAGAGCAGACAAGACATAAACATGGGAGGGGCAACCCAGCACAGAATAGAAAAGGGACTTGCTCAAGCTTACTTAGCAGGTCAGTCTCAGAGCTAGAAACAGAACTGAACCCTTGTGATTCTGGGGCTGTGCCCCCATACCTCACAGGATATTTTGTTAATACTTGATGGCAAAGGGAGCCTTTCGCTGAGACTGAATATCGCCTTCCATTTTCTGCCATGGACTGGCATGGGGAAAAGACTGAGATGGCACTTGGCTGTTCTCTCACCACAGACACAATACAGTACAGGGCAGAGCTCACTGACTTCCCTCTGAAATCAATGGCAGGCAAGGAAGGTCAGCACTCTATAGCACCAGGCCTGGCCACGTGTGCTCATCTTAGATCCACTAGCATGAGGAGATAGGTGCCCCCCAGTGAATGTCTGTGCAGCAATAGCACACCAAGCTCTGGCTTCAGTGGAGTGAAACTTCTTTATTGGGATTCTAGGGATTTTTTTCACTGCATATTTTGACACAACTTCAACCTGCCTCAACCATACTCTGCTAAAGATGAAATTATCCCTTCTGACCTTTAGATAGAGGAGGGAGAGAAAAGGTCCAACAATAAATTCCCAGGGCCTAAAATGTTTTGCCACAAACTCTGCAGGTTTCATTTCAATTCCAATCCATATCAAGTGGAATTTTTCTTGGCTTTGGATCTCTGTTAAAGCCATTAAAGACATTTATTCATGGGAACTTCAGTAAACTTTGGTTTATTTGTTAATGCCAAGGGAATGCAAATTATGGCAAATTATCCAGTACTGACCAATTAGCAGGCATTGGGGGAAAGGAGGGGAATCAGACCAATGGCAAATTAAACCACTGTGGTCAATAATTCTGTAGGCAAATTAACTGGAGTTTACTGTAGCTGCATCACAGAAAAGTCTTAATTTTCAAATATCTATCTCTATAGCTATGCTGTATACCTTTTACTATACTCACAGGCTATAACTTTAAGCTTTCAGTATGAAAGAGTTAAGATTGCTCCACACGTAACTCACCAAAAACAAAACAAGAAAATGAAGAATTAAGCTACCTAACAAAATATACTTCCTTTGGACCTTACCATCTTATGCATATTTTTTCCCCTGCACAGGATTCCCTTCTAGTGTTATTAGTTGTAGATGTTTAGCGTAGTTCTTGGTTGCATTACAACTGGGCAGTTTGTTAAAGTAATGGTGTAATGGAAACTATCGATCGCAATGGGATCAGAGTTAATGTTAGGACATAGCTAGCAAATGTCAGGTATCTCCATCAGTTGCTGCACATAAAACTTCCTGTGCCAGCAGCTGCACACAACACTTTCTTGAGTATAAGATAAAATCTGACCAAAAATGCAGGATGGATTTACATTGTTTCATGTGCAGTGGAGCATGCATGTTCATTTTTTGATAAATTAATAGTTTAAAATAAGCCTAGGTTTGCATATGTTGATTTTAAGACTACCATTTCCCTGTATTTCCTCAAAGTTCATCTGTCTGCTGACTTCTCCACAGAAAGAATGTTTTCTAAAAGATATTAATCGACAAAGAACATTTGACTGTCACAGTCAGAATTCCAGCCAGAGCTCAATTTCAAATACTTTTATTAAACATGAATGAAAGGAAATCAAGCAAAAAGTTTCAGAGAAAATGTAGAGGGTCTGAAAACCAACTTTGTGGAACTTGTCATTAACATGCCAAGTAAATGAAAAGAGGAACAGGAATTAATGCCCCATTTTAATCTCTGTTTAGCAGGCAGCCTTTAGAATCAGAATCATAGCATTCCTATTGCGTTCCAAACATATTATTATTATAACAGTTCAAGGGAAAAATTATTCTGATTATGAATAAAAATGTCCATGACATTTGTGGTTTAGTAATTTGCCTTTATGAAATGACCATTGCTTAGTGTAACCTTGGAAATGCCCTTTGATTTTAGTAATTTTCATTATATAATTTTCAGTCCTTTCCATTTAATTTTACTTAAGCTGATCTCTGTGTTTCCAGTCTATTACCCATCTGAAAAATGAGAAAGCTTCTTTACTTAATTCTTTGTAGCAGGAGTTTGAATACCTCATTATAACACTTGAAAACCCCTGAACTGATCCAGAAATCCTGTTTTGCAGCCCTCTGAAAATCGCATGTATTTAACCATAGAATACAAAAAGAAGAAGCTTTTAGCCCGTTATCCATTCCAGTTTAATGAACTACTTTTCCTGTTGGACACAATATATGATGTGGGTAAATACTTGGTTTTGACAATATACAAACAACAGTTAATATAATTTAATATTAAATGGATATTGGTTTGAAGGAAAGCTATCTTTATGGGTCTTAATACTCCAGAAATATTAATTATGAAAGAAGGGTAGTGTCATGACAATATGTACAGTTTTCAGAGGTTTTGGTTTTCAGAATACTACCATGTCAGTTAAAACCATGTAAAAACCCTCACACAGGATGTAATCAACCTCAAATCTTCAGAGAAACATTGAGAAATAGCCCTCAAGTGCCAAGAAAAACAACAGTCGTTTACAATAAGCTCTTCCTAATGTCCATTCAGTCAACCCACAATGTTAAATGAGACACATTTCTCAAAATGAAAGTAGGACAAACGAAAGCACAAAAAATCCCAACTATCTAATGTCTTCGTTATATAGACACAGATTCTAGAAAATAACGTCTCAAAGTGTCTTGGTTTTCTCCCTGATTAAGGGGCAAGATGAGCCAACTCATAAACTCCAACAGATTTCTAAATAGCTGACGATAAAAAGGTGAATTTTGCAACACTTCTCTTTTTAGCTCTTTTGGTCAGAAACTTTCTCCATCTCTATAGCAGCAATTCTGTTCAATGTAGTGTCCCGCACTCTGTGATTTTATGCCAAATCTATTTCTTTGGAATTATAGCACAGCCCCAGATATACAGTTCTTCTCACAATATAAGTGAAACCCAGCATCTAAAATGTACATTTACAGAAAATACTTGAATGCTTTTCACTTACCTCTGTCAAGTCTCAGCAGTTGTGTGTACAGAGGAATGGAAAAAAAGATCTCATATGATAGCTTCTCTAAATTTACCAGAAAGAAAGGAGTTAGGATGCTTGTCCTTTAAGTGTCTCTAAACATGGTTTGCATAGCTGGATCTCAGCTTATCTGTGCTTTTCTGCTTTTGCTTCCATACATGGATCTGTTCCCAACAGTAACTCCAAGCTGTCGAAAAGAAGCTATCTGGCAGCTTTCAGCTTCATCCAAACACATAAATGATAAAAAAAATCCTTTCTGTCTGATACTTTTTACACCCCCAAACCCCTGCCACAATGTCTTGTTCAAATTAACTTGAAGATTACATATTTCCTTTTCAGTGCATGCTGAACAAATAATGTCAGGCTAGTACATGCAACCATAAAAAATGATGCTTAGGCTAATACTGCACTTAAAATGGCTTCAGTCTCATGCAAATCTTGACTGTTTGCCCACTGCTTATTAAAATATTTGTATAAGTAACTGCTAGAATGGAGTAAATATAAATTATGAAGACAGGGAGTATTTTGCTTTTTTGTTCTTAAGTTCATGTAATTTTATTTCCAAGAATACTTCCTGCTTTCCTTACAGGTCAGGGTTTTGTATGCTTGTTACTCAGAAGTATTTCAACACAGCATACAGCATATCTGTAGTGCTGGAAGGTTAAGATTCACTTTTTTGAGACAAGAGAGACTACGTTAAAAAACTGTAGCAAGCAGTTTCACATTTGTACCAGTAGCAGTAGTTCCTTTTCCACTGAATACTACAGCAGCTGCATAGTATAAATGTCTGGGACTTTGTAAAAAGGAAACCATGGCTTGAGAAAGTCTCTGCACATTTATTTATCAATAAGCAATAGGACGGAAGTGGGAATTCTCTCTCACAGGTCCCTTCCCCCCAGTTTCATAGATTTCCCTTTGAGAGGGGGTGGTAGTTTGAATCCCCCTCTACATGAGGGGGGACCTAAAAGTTCACTCTTCTACTTCCTGGGTAAGCACCCTCCCCAACAAGCTGTGGGGTTAGAACATGGGAGGTACTTTTCCTTCATTCCCTCCCCCTAGCTAATTATGGGGTTTTGCCAGCTAGTTTCAGACTCATGCACATGCAGTTGCATGTGTATAGTGCTGTGTGCCCACCTGGCCCAAGCACAGGCTACTGCATATGTTCAGTAGCTGTGTGCATGCTTGCAGATTCACACTGCAGATGGAATAGCATTTCTGACCATGTATGAGTGCCAAAAAAATGTTCATTACACGGCCGGATAAGTGCCATATGGGTGCATAAGGGGATATAGGATTCAGCCCCCAATGCCTGGAAATTAGAAAAATTAGATAGTCTATACCCTTAACTCTGCCTCTTTGCATATATACATCCTCTCAAGCATTTTATTGGTACCCATATTACCTCTCCTTCTCACCACCCACCCAGGTCAGCAGTCCACTTTCTAGCTGCTCCTGCTGCCTACATATATTCCTGTCCTACCAGGATCACTGTCTACATTAGGGCTCAGTCTTGGAATGTGTTGAGCACCCCAGCATGATCCAGCAGCTGATTAAATTTATGCATATGTTGATTTCATTGATTTCAGTACAGCACATGTTTAACTGTATTGTAGATTCAGGCCAGAATGTCCTGTTTCTTACAGAACCTGTAGAGCAAAGGGCATGAGCGGGGGCCCCAGCATGCTTCCTGGCAGACCTGGAAGTGCTTCTGGTTCACTTCTGGGTTTGCTGCTGATCATGCTGGCGAGCACCCCGTGATTCTGTGGGTGTGGAAAAGACGTACCTCCATTTGCTGAGGAGAGGAGCCGGCGGGATGCTGTGCCAGAAGCGGAGCATGGTGAAAATGAAACTCTGGTGGTCCCATCCACCGCAGCAAAGAAAGAAGAAAAAAAACAAACTACTGAGTTGGAAAGAGCCAGGATCAGCTCCCATGTCAGCGTGGGCATGCTTTATAACAGCGTACCAGGACCAATTCACCTCCCAGAACCCCAAAACCGGGATAAAAAGCCCGGCAGGGAATCAGTGGGGAGGACCAGAAGTGAGGTCCTCAGTCAGCCCAGAGGGGACAGATACTGAAAGCAGTCCCAGCTCAGGGATCTAGTGGCTACCCCAGGAGGGCAACTTCATTACAGAGTCAGAGCCAGAGATGGCACCACAACTTACCAGAGACTATGCTGTGGACATAGGAGGTCCACAGCACAGATTGGATCTTGGCAAGATCAGATAAAGCAGGGACCAGCGGACAACCAACCCACAGCAGGTACGAAACTCAAATTGAGGGTGGGATGCCAGGGGACACGACAGGCTGGGACTGACAAGACGCATAAATAAGGCAAGGTGCAGCAGAGACTAACCAGGTCCAATAAACATCCTGAATACCACCGTAGTAAATCCGAAGGGCCAAGACATCAAAAGGGATGCAAAAGTAATCCTGGTGGCCCAGGTAATACCATCTGTGGTTCGCATTAGGCAGGGTGTAGGGGAGGCGGAGCCCCAAGCAAGGAAGGACAACCAGAACGACGGAAAGAAGGTACCAGGAGGGACAGGGAAGAACATCTTCCTCCCATTAAAAATTCTTTTTCCAGCAAAGACATGGCAGGCGGGACCCCATGGGGTACCAACCTGTGGCCATCATTGCTTCGAACGCCCACTCATGTGCTGCCTTAGTCTGTGCTGTAAGGGGTCCACATTCGTGAAATCCCTGAGGTGGGTGTCGGTTGCCTCAAGGACCACCCCCAAACTCACCTGCCATGACTTTGAATATTACACCAGGTTGAGGGGTAACCAGCATGGGTTCGTGCAAGGCCGATCCTGCCTGACTAACCTGGTCTCTTTCTATGACCAGGTAACAAAGAGCTTAGATGGGAAGAAGGAAGTTGATGTCATCTTCTTGGACTTCCAGAAGGCCTTTGACACAGTGTCCCACCCAGTTCTGGTGGGCAAGCTGAGGGACTGCGGCATTGACGAATGCACAGTCACATGGGTGGCAAACGGGCTCCAGGGGAGCACCCAGAGGGTGGTGGTGGACGGGTC